TGGGATGGAGTGGGCTGAGCTGGGCTGAGATTGACGGTACTGGTGTACACTGGTCTATATTGGGCTGCCCCAGAGGAGGAGGAGGGGGATGAAGATGAAGACGAGGAGGATGAGGATTGAACTGGGCTGGGCTGTATTGGAGTGAACTGGTGCATACTGGTTCCCAGGGCCCATGGAAGCAGTGGCTGAGGAGGAAGATGAGGAGGAGGAGGAGGAGGAGGGGGAGGCCCAGGAGCGGCTCCTGCAGCACCTGATGGTTCAGACAGGACGAGACCTCCCCCAGTGCCACCTGGAGCGGGACTGGGACATACTGGGAGAACTGGGCAGTGGCTCCTATGGGCACGTGGTGCTGGCACAGCCCCGGGATGGGGGTGAGGGGCTGGTGGGGCACTGGTGGGGGCTGGGGAGGGGGGATTTGGGATTACCTGTGCACCAGGTGAGCACCTATCACACCTGAGGCTCCGCCCCTGAACACACGTGGGAGATCCAAGGGGCTCGGGTGGCGGGTCTCTGGGGTGGGATAACCTGTCCCCAGGTGTGCCCAGGTGTGTCTGTGGGGGTATAACCCATCCCCAGGTGCTCCCAGGTGTGCCCAGATGTGTCCCCCTCCTTACCCAGGTGCGCCAGTGGTGCTGAAGCTGCTGCAGAAGGACCGGACGGGCAGGTGGGGCTTCCTGCGGGAGTTCTGCACCCACCTGTGCCTGAGGGGGCAGCTCACCTGCCTGCAGGTGCTGCCCCTGGCCTTCGAGACCCCCACCCACTTTGGCTTCGCGCAGGAACACGCACCTGCCGGGGACCTGTGCGGGCTGCTCACACCTGGGGTGAGTGCCTAGGTGTGAGGGACTCACCTGTGCGGGCTGCTCACACCTGGGTGAGTGCTCAGGTGTGTCTGGGGTGGACACAAGTGTGTTTGGGAGGGGGACAGGTGTGTGGGGGAGGGTGTGGATGCACTTGCCGGGGACCTTTGTGGGTTCCCCGAGCCCCAGGTGAACCCCTGCACTCACAGGTGACCCCACAGATGACCCCAGGTGCCAATAGGTTACTCCAGGTGACCGCAGGTGACACCAGGGGACCTCAGGTGTCTCCAGGTGACCCCAGGTGTGTCCCCCCCCATCCCCAGGTGAGTCTCCCTGAGTCCCAGGTGAATCCCTGCCCTCACAGGTGACCCCACAGGTGAATCAAACGATGACTCCAGGTGACTGTGGGTGACCCCAGGTGACAACGGGTGACCACAGGTGACATTGGGTGACCCTGTGTCCCACCAGGCGTGTCCCCCCCCCGTCACCAGGTGGGCCTGCCCGAGCCGCAGGTGAAGCGCGTGGCCGCCCAGGTGGGCGCGGCCCTGGATTACCTGCATGGCCACGCCCTGGTGCACCGCGATGTGAAACTGGACAACGTGCTGGCCTTCGACCCCCAGTGCCGGCTGGTCAAACTGGGCGACTTTGGCCTCACCCGCGTCATGGGATGGCAGGTGGGGCCCACCTGTGGCTCGGGCCACGCCCCCTATGCTCCACCTGAGCTGTGCCACCTGCATGCAGCGGAGACGCTGCGCCTGGAGCCCAGCCTGGACACCTGGGCCTTCGGCATCCTCCTCTTCGCCCTCCTCACCGGCACCTTCCCCTGGGGGGCTGCCGCGCCACAGGATCCCCAGTTTGGGGAGTTCCAGGTGTGGCAGGGCCACACCTGGCAGCCAGATGGGCTCACCTGTGGCGGGGGGGAGGTACCGCGTGGCTGGAGGGGGTTGGGGGAGGCGGCGCTGGAGATGCTCCGGAGGCTCCTCCGGCTGGAGCCCGACCGGCGGAGCCACGCTGGGGAGGTGAACAGGTACCTGCACAGGTGCTGGGGAGGGGGGGCAGAGGGGCCTGGCGGGGGTGGGAGCGGGGAGGGCGCACCTGGGGATGGGAAAGAAACACCTGGGGATGGGTTGGACACACCTGGGGGTGGGTTGGACACACCTGGGAGTGGACTGGAAGTACCTGGGAGTGGGTCAGACAGAACTGGGGATGGATCGGACACACCTGGGGATGAGATAGACATACCTGGATATGGGTCTGGAACACCTGGGGATGTGTTGGAAGTACCTGGGAGTGGGTCGGACACACCTGGGTATGGGTCAGATGCACCTGGATATGGGTCAGACACACCTGGGGAGGGCAAAGGAACATCTGGGAATGAACTGGAAGCACCTGGGGATGGGTCAGAAACATCTGGAGATGGGTCTGGAACACCTGGAAGTGGGTTGGAAGTACCTGGGGATGGGTTAGACACACGTGGGGATGGGACAGAAATACCCGAACATTAGCTGGAAACACCTGGAATGGGCTGGAAACACCTGGAAATGGGATAAAAGCATCTGGAAGTGGGAATGAAACACTTGGAAATGGGATGGAAATACCTGGGAATGGGATGGAACTCCTGGAAGTGGGATAGTAACACCTGGAAATGGGATGGGAACACTTGGGAATGGGAGGGAATCACCTGGAAATGAGCTGGGAATATCCGGGGACCCCCCAAAAAGGGGAGTTGAATAAAATTCCCTGTTTTTTGCCTTTATTTTTTTAGCCTGTTTTTATCTGGGGCTTCCAGGTGGAAAAAGGTGGGAAGAGGGTGGGAAAAGGGGGGGAAGGGAGGGAAAATGGTGTAGAAAGAGAGGGAAAAGGATGGAAAATGATGGAAATAGTTGGAAAAAAAGATGGGAAAACAGTAGAAAAGAATGAGTAAGAGTAGGAAAAAGGTGGAAAAAGGGTGGGAAAAAGCAGAGAAATTGTTGAAAACCGCGGGAAAAGGCTGGAAAAAAGGCAGGAGAAGGATTTCAAAAGGGAGGGGAAAGGACAAAAAAGGATGGAAAAAACGATGTAAAAGGAGGAGGAAAGTGCCAGGATTTGCTGTGGATGCCCCCGAAAACGAACATGAACGGAAGGGGGACGATTCTGAGGGGGAGCCCCCTAAAATGCGAGGCCCGACGAGGGTGGGATTCGAACCCACGCGTGCAGAGCACAATGGATTAGCAGTCCATCGCCTTAACCACTCGGCCACCTCGTCCGCGGGTGCGCACGCGCGCCCCGCGCCGATCTCCCTTCTTGGGAGGCGTGGCTTCAAGCAAATAGGTGTGGTTAGAGGCGTGGTCTCCGATCGGAGTCGCCCTCTGGGCGATGTTTATCCACCTGTGAAGCATGGGATTCGAATCCCGGCGGGGCCAACCCGGGCAGTGGGGGGGAGGGTTTTAAACGTATTTTTATAAAATCAATAAATACATTAAATGAATAAAAATAAACGAATAAATTAAAGGAAAAACATAAATAAATTAAAATAAATAAATTAAGTGAATGTAATAAAGAAGTTAAGTAAATAAATTAAATAAAATAATTAAAATAATTAAAATATTAAATGAATAAGGTTAATGAATTAAATAAATTTCAAATATGATAAATTAAATAAAATTAAATAAATTAATCTACATAAAAAAGTAAATAAACACATCATCATCATGGCTAGGCTTCGCGAACGAAGATTTGAGAGGGGCTCTACCCCCGCTTGCTACAAGCACGTTGATGGCTAGAAAGGCCAATGCCAGATAGACAAGTCCGGTTGCAGAACGTACAGCAGAAAGACTCCCTTGGTGAGATCGACAAGACGCGATTCTTTCTGTGTTGTCTTTTCTCCTCCAGAGTGATCCTGCGTGTGTTCTCAAAAGCAGCAGCAGCGTTAGAGATGGTGTGTCTCCAGGCCTCTCGATTGGAGGCCAGGGTAGACCAATGATGGTGATCAATATGGCCAAGGCTGAGGGATTGTTTCAGGCAGTCCTTGTATCTCCTCTTCGGGGCTCCTCTCTCACTGCAGCCAGTGGCAAGTTCCCCACAGAGCACGATCTTAGGGAGGCGATGATCCTGCATCCTGGAGACGTGCCCTGCCCAGCACAGCTGTGTTCTCAGCAGCGTGGCCTCAATGCTCGGGACTGCTGCCTGTTCAAGGACAGACGTGTTGGACACATAGTCAGTCCAGTGGATGCTGAGGATTGTACGGAGGCAGCGCTGATGGAAGCATTCTAAGAGACCCAAGTGGTGCTGGTAAATGACCCAGGATTCAGATCCATAGAAAAGAGTAGACAGTACAATGACTCTGTAAATGCTGATCTTGGTGCTTTTCTTCAGGTGTTTGTTTTGCCACACTCTTTTACGGAGTTCACCAAAAGCTCTGTAAGCCTTTGCTGACCTGTTGTCTGTTCCTGCATCAATCTTCCCGTCTGAGGAGATGATGCTTCCCAGGGAATTAAACTGTTGGACTTGTAGTGTCCTATGGTAGTCACCAGGTGGCACTGTTGGATCCCTGGAGGAGTAGAACTGGTAATGTCCAGCCCCCGTCACTGGGCGGCGCTGGGAGATCCTCGGTTGCCGCCGGGTGGCGATGGAGGAGGGGGGGAAGGGGGAGGGAAACAGAAAGTTCTCCCAATGGAGGAAAACTCACGATTTTTGGTTGGTGAGGATTTCACTGTGAGCCAGGCCCGTAACCAGCAAACAGCTGCGCAGAGAAACAGCAGCAAAAAAAACCTCTCCTCCGACAGGCAAAAGACAAAGAAGCAACCAGGCAGTCTCTCCTGCTCGCTGCAGCCTCCCCTCCGGCTCCAGAGCTGAGCTCCAATCTCCAAACCCCACCCCTTTCCATACACACACCCTGGCCTTTCCCCAATTCCTCCCCCTTGGTTGCTGGGAGATTAATGTCTGGTCATTTAGGGCTCAGGCCAACTCCTTTGTTATCTGATGGCCCATTAACACACACACGCAGGAGGGGGGAGGGGAAAGGAAAGACAAAATTTCTTGCTAAAATCAGAACTATGACAGCGCTGATGGCTAAAAAGGCCAATGCCAGATAGACAAGTCCGGTTGCAGAAGGTGCAGCAGAGACTCCCCAGGTGATATCGACAAGACGCGATTCTTTCTGCGTTGTCTTTTCTCCTCCAGAGTGATCCTGTGTGTGTTCTCAAAAGCAGCAGCAGCGTTACAGATGGTGTGTCTCCAGGCCTCCCGATTGGAGGGCAGAGTAGACCAATGGTGGTGATCAACATGGCCAAGGCTGAGGGATTGTTTCAGGCAGTCCTTGTATCTCCTCTTCGGGGCTCCTCTCTCACTGCAGCCAGTGGCAAGTTCCCCACAGAGCACGATCTTAGGGAGGGGATGGTCCTGCATCCTGGAGACGTGCCCTGCCCAGCACAGCTGTGTTCTCAGCAGCATGGCCTCAATGCTCGTGACTGCTGCCTGTTCAAGGACAGACGTGTTGGACACATAGTCAGTCCAGTGGATGTTGAGGATTGTACAGAGGCAGCACTGATGGAAGCGTTCTAAGAGACGCAAGTGGTGCCGATCAATGACCCAGGATTCAGAACCATATAGAAGAGTAGACAGCACGATGGCTCTGTAAACACTGATCTTAGTACTTCAGGTGTTTTGCCACACTCTTTTACAGAGTTTACCAAAAGCACTGTATGCCTATGATAAACTAAATAAAATTAAATAAATTAATCTACATAAAAAAGTAAATAAACACATACATGTATAATAAAATGCAATAAGTTGCATATTTTTCCAAATTGCTCTCAGTTTCCATCCAGTTGGGCCTCGCTCTATTTAAATGTACTTCTTTAAAAGAGCTGGAAGACCAGCAGAGTGGCGCAGCGGGAGCGTGCTGGGCCCATAACCCAGAGGTCGATGGATCGAAACCATCCTCTGCTATGTTAATTTTCTTTTTCCCCTCACTGTCCCTTTCGCCCAACTAATTTTCCTTAGTTTTCTTTTTTCACGCTATTTCCCCCTAATTTTCCTTTTTCCCCCCCTCACTAATTTTTCTTATTTTCCTTTCCCCCTCCTCCTTTTACCCCCTTTCCTAGGCTTGTAGAGGGTGTTTTTGGAGGGTGTCCACCCGCTTGGGGTCCTGAAACAGCCGTGGTGGGGTTTGGGAAGTTCCCAAGACAAGGAGGGGGGGTGGGAAAGGTTTTTTTTTTTGGAAGGTGTCCTCTCTCGGGGGGTTCCCGGGACATGCGTGTGTGGGGATTTTGGGTGTCTCCCTCTCTGGGAGTCTCGAATGACTCGTGGAGGGGAACTTCAAGGGGCGGGTTTTGGGAGTCCTTTGTGACCGACGCAAATGAGTTTTTTTGGGGGGATCTCTTCACTCAGGGGCTCCTGAATGCCCCGAAAGAGAGGGAAATAGATTTTTCGTGGCGATCTTCCCTCTCAGGGGGTCCCGAATCTCGAGTGGATGGGGGAAGGAGAGGGAAGTGGAGGCGGGCGAGGGGAAGTCTGATTATTCCTGATCGGCACCTCCGGACAGCCGGCGCCGTGGCTTAGTTGGTTAAAGCGCCTGTCTAGTAAACAGGAGATCCTGGGTTCGAATCCCAGCGGTGCCTCTGTCGCGGGTGTGTCGTTTTTCATATGTGCTTTTATGGAGATTTTAGAAGTTTTTATGTATTTTTATAGGGGAGTATGTATTTTAATGTTTTTGTTATAAATAATAATACATATTATAGATATCTTAATATTATAAGAACCATGAATATTTAATTATTATTATAGTGCAAGTGAAGTATTTTATTGTGTGTTTTTAAATATTATATTATATTAAATATTATACCTTATAAAGTACATGACATATATATACTATGTAACATACTTATTGTAAAAAAATTATTAATTATTATAGAAAAGGAGTTTGGAGGGTGAGGAAAGAGGAAGAGGGGAAAATGGAATTAAAAAGGAAGGAAAAATGGAAACGAAAAGGGGAAAACTTTAATTCCCTGACCGGGAATCGAACCCGGGCCGCGGCGGTGAGAGCGCCGAATCCTAACCACTAGACCACCAGGGAGGACAGAGGTGAGGGCATAAACCCTCCCATCCAGACTTTAGGGATCCCCTGAGGGGGAGAGACCCCCAAAATCCCCCCCCAAGTGAGTCCCGGGACCCCCTGAGAGAGGAGACCCCCAAATCCATCTTCACGTGTGTCTCGGGACCCCCTGGGGTGAGAGCTATTGGGGGATCTATTGGGGTCCCGGGGGGCCTCTGGGGTGGTCTCTGGGGGTGTGTATGGGGGGGGTGTACGGAGGGCCTAGAGGGGATCTGTGGGGGGGTCTATGGGGGAGTTCTGAGGGGGTCCTAATGCGCGGGTCGCCCCCTCGTGTCTCCGCGCGCCCCCGTCGACCCCTCTCGGGCATCTTCGGTCACCTTCGGCACCAGTTCGGCTCCGCTCGGGAATCTTCGGGGACGTTCGGAGACCTTCGGGCCAGTTCGGCTCCATTCGGAGACCTCCGGATCGGTTCGGCTCCATTCGGTCCCATTCGACTCCGGTCCGACTCCGTTCGGCTCCGTTCGTCCCCGTTCGGCTTCGTTCGTCCCCGTTCG